CCTCTCCCTCTGGCATCCACAACTGGCTTTTTGACTCTGGAGCCAATGCACATATCACCAATGATTTGAATCAAATTTCAAATCCTCGTCCCTACAATGGCACTGACAATGTTAATGGCGTGGTGGACGGATCAGGTTTGCACATTTCTCATGTTGGCACTTCTTTTATTCACACACCCCATCACTCCTTTACCCTTCCCCACACCCTTCACTGCCCTAATGCTTCTACTAATGTTATTTCCATTAATCAATTTACCAAAGACAACCATTGTTCACTGACCTTATATCCCAATTCCTACCGTGTTCAGGACCTTCAAACGGGGAAGATGCTTTTGCAAAGCCGGAGTAAAAATGGTTTTTATCCATTTTTCAGTTCTTATGTGGTCAACCATGGAGTCTCTGCATTTGTCGGTGTTAGAGTGTCGGATGCTATTTGGCATTCTAGGTTAGGACACCCTGCAAGTTCTGTTTTGCATAGTCTAATTTCCCAAAATAAATTACCTTTAACTAGTAATGCAACCTACGACTTTTGTTCATCATGTCCCCTTGGCAAAAGTCATAAGTTGCCTTTTAATTTATCTTCTTCCCAGTCATCGTTTCCTTTGGAATTAATACATTCCGATGTATGGATTTCTCCTTCTTATTCAATTAATGGTTACAAGTATTATGTTGTTTTTGTGGATGATTTTTCTCGTTATGCATGGCTCTATCCTTTAAAATTAAAGTCTGATGTTTTTCAAACCTTTGTTAATTTCAAAAAGCTTGCAGAAAATATGTTCAATACCAAAATTAAATTTTTTCAATCTGATGGTGGAGGAGAGTTTGTCAATTCCTCTTTTAAACACCTTTTCTCTCAACATGGCATTCATCATAGACTTAGTTGTCCTCATCATCCTGAGCAAAACGGTCTCGCAGAACGCAAACATCGTCATCTTGTTGAAATTGGCTTAACTTTACTTGCTCATGCGTCTCTCCCTCACACTTTCTGGGATGACGCTTTTCAAACTGCAAATTATCTCATTAATCGTCTTCCCACCAAAATTTTGAATGGCGTCTCTCCTTTCCAAAAACTGTTTTCAAAATCCCCCCAGTATGATTTTCTCAAAGTATTTGGTTGTGCTTGTTTTCCCTATTTACGTCCTTATACTGATTCTAAACTTAAGTTTCGATCAAAACAATGCATTTTCTTAGGCTACTCATTAAATTATCAAGGTTATAAATGTTATGATCCTACCACTGGCAAGTCTTTTCTGTCTCGTCATGTTGTTTTCAATGAAAAAAGTTTTCCATCGAAAGAACTTGCTCCTCCGACCTTGTCAAACTCTCGTCCGTTGGACCATGTCCTTGACATTGATACCTTCCATTACACCCAACCACAGTTGACCCCTCTGATCCCTCCTTCCCTTCCAACACCGATTGTCGCCACCTCCCCACCTCAATCCCTACCACTACCTACCCCAGACTCCCATTCTCCCATCAACTTCCACTACTCAAGTGAATATAGAACCTGCCAACACCACTTCACATACTGTTCCTTCCACTCATCCCATGATCACGCGTGGTCAACAAGGAATTCGAAAACCAAATCCCAGATATGCTTGTATCACTAACGTTACTAATACTTTGGTTAAGCCCACATGTTTCTCACAGGCAAATAAGTCTCCACAATGGCGCCAAGCCATGGCAGATGAATTCAACGCCTTACAGCGTACTGGCACTTGGACTTTGGTACCCTACAAGTCTTCTATGAACGTGTTACCAAATAAATGGGTGTATCGCATCAAAACAAACTTTGATGGTTCCATCGAGCGTTTTAAAGCTCGCCTAGTTGCCAATGGTTTTCATCAGCAAGAGGGCATTGATTTCTGCGAAACCTTCAGTCCGGTGGTCACACATGCCACAATTCGGCTCATTCTCTCTATTGCTCTTCACTTTCAGTGGCCTATCTGCCAACTTGATGTTCAAAATGCCTTCCTTCATGGCACGTTGAATGAGGAAGTTTATATGCGTCAACCTGCAGGGTTCATTGATCCACAGTTTCCCTCTCATGTGTGTCGACTTCGACGGTCTCTCTATGGTTTGAAACAAGCACCCCGTGCTTGGTTTCAATGTTTTTCCCAGAAACTAGAACACTTGGGCTTCACTGCTTCTCAAGCTGACTCGTCTCTCTTCACCTATTTTGATGGCTCAACAATCATTTATCTTCTCATCTATGTGGATGACATTTTAATCACAGGGAACAACAATGCTCACTTGTCTCAGTTTATCACGCAGCTTGGCACTCATTTTGCAATGAAAGATCTTGGGCCCTTACACTACTTCTTGGGGATGGAGGTTTCCCGGACGCCTTCTGCTTTCTATCTTACTCAATCCAAGTATATTTTGGAGCTTCTACAGAAAACTAATATGGCTGACGCCAAGCCCATCTCAACGCCAGTTCGCAGTGGTAAACGCTTGAGTTTATATGATGGTGAGCCTTTCTCAGATGGATCTTCTTTCGCAGTGTTGTGGGCGCCCTTCAATACCTTCTATTTACACGTCCTGATATTGCTTATGCTGTCAACCAAGTGTGTCAGGTCATGCACTCTCCAACTACTGCACACTGGGCTGCAGTCAAACGCATCCTACGGTATTTGAAAGGCACACATGATCACGGCTTACTTTACAAACCCAGTCCTCTCACTCTCACTGTGTTCCCTGACGCTGATTACACTGGCGACCCTGATACCCATCGTTCCACTGGCGGTCACTGCATATTTCTTGGCAATAATTTAATCTCCTGGAGTTCGAAAAAGCAACGTGGAGTGTCACGGTCTAGCACAGAGGCGGAGTATCGTCAACTTGCCTATACTTCTGCTCATCTCTCATGGTTTCGTAATCTTTCCGTGATTTATATCTTCCATTACAGCCACCTCGTCTCTGGTGTGACAATATCAGCGCCATTGCTATTGCTTCCAATCCTGTTTATCAAGCTCGCATGCGCCATGTTGAAGTGGATTATCACTACATCCGGGACAAGGTCATTTGCAAGGAAATAGAAGTTGGTTATGTAGCTACCACATACCAAATTGCTGATTTTTTAACCAAGGGTTTGTCCTCTGTCCGCTTCCATTAACTTATCTCCAAGCTTCCTGTTCGTCAACGCCCCGTCAGCTTGCGGGGGCGTGATAAACCTAGTTCGGAAACCCTAATGAACAACCGGTCCACGTCAGCACCACCAAACCTTCTCGCTGCAATCTGCAACAGAAAGGATCATAACTGTTAAACCACTAGCTGTACATCCTGGACAAAAGGAATGGTGCACATGGACACAACATTCCTTTACGGCTTGTCTACCACATGGTTTCTGCACTTGTGTTGTGATTGCTGCATCGTGGGCATCGTGGGCAGCAAGAACAGCATTTGCTGTGCATTTGTTTATTGCAACATCACTTGCTGTGCATTTGTTTATTGCAACATCACTTGCTGTGCTTTTGTTTAATGCATACGTGTCCTTATCAGTGTATATAAATATAAACTCTGATGTCCATTGTAAGAAGTGCAGTGTAATAATAAACCAGTTTCGAATACCAAGTTTTTCAGTCTGCACATATTTGGCCCTCGAATTAAGATCCTTGCCTTGTATCGAATGCAACTGAGGGTTTTTACTTTAGGTGACCACCTTTCCCTTCTATGGCTCGTCACTCAATTGAGGCAACAAAAGCCCCAAAGACAAACTCGCCTACAAGGTGTTGTCGACATCACACAACCAACCAATTCTTCAGCTTCCCCTGCTTTGAGTAAACCTCCACCATTTTCTTCCACTTAACATCAGCCTATTGCTCGAGCTCAGGATACTTGATATAGCTTAATATGTCATGCGGAAGCAGCGCGGCATCGCTAGGATCAATCTCATTGGCTGCAGCCAGTTGCTCTCTTGTACTCCGCTCTATAAAACCTCATTCCTCAGTTGGTCAATACAACAAACATTACCATCCCCTTCTCGGAGGCATGATTCTGGTGGGAAAACCTTCCTTGCAATGTTTTCGAATAACATAAGATGATCAACGGTGGTAGGCAAAGAGTAGCCACTTGGGTAATCTCCAAGCAGTAATCATCATGATGGTCATGGTCATGGTCCTTGTGATGATGAAAATTTTCAATATTAGACTTGAAGCACTGGGCAAAAATATCTGAAACACAGTCGTGCAAGAAGCAGTAATCAGCGTTGCGCTCGTATCTCTGAACCGCCTTGTTGGCCGTGTGGATCGCCTTCCTCCTCAACAAAAATTCGCTTGCCTTTGACTTGGCGTCCTTTTCCTTAACATTCACCATTCCATTTGAATCGGCCTCCTCCCTCGTCCTCCCAATAAATTTCAAGTGAGCTTCGCCCCGTACAACCTGCGAGAGAATGCAGGGAAGGTCTAGGTCCGAATGAGCCGGAAATTGGCACGAGATTGTAAGCAAGGGTTTTGGGGTGGTTCTGGTGGAGCCAAACCGCCGCCGTGAAGAAAGCTTAGTCTTGGTTGCGTTTTCCACCGTCGCCGCGTCTGTCTATGAAGTTGCAGATGAGTTTGAGGGTGGTTAGAGGATTGTGCGACCAGGCCGAGGGAAGTACTTAGTTCATCAGAGTTTCGTGGAATTCCACTGTCGACATGGCGTCTTGTCCCTTGATGCAGTGGAAGTACAGATCAATGTAAGGGTTGTTGATGTTGTGGAAGCCTAATTGAGGTTGTTGTTTGAATTTGAACTGCTCGGGCAACAGCAAAGAGGGCGGAGGCGGAGCAATTCTTGTGAATTGCGGCCAAACAGCCTTGTTTCGGCATGCTTCCAGAATCGATATCAGTAGTAGGAATGCCCGCACTTTGCTACGGATTTTCAAACCATGAATAATATTCATAGAAAAATTAACTAAAATGCTACAAGAGTACAATCATATTCTTAAATCTAGCAATTCAGACAACACACATTTTACATGAGCAACGCTCACAAAACCAAACATTTACACAATTATCTCCAAATGAAAGAAAAAGCAAGAGATAGGTGAATTGATCCATAAAATAAGCAGTTCAATTTACATTGCTACTCTCTTGTAACTTATTAGAGCTTCTTTGCAGATCAATCATAGTGATTTCTTCATTGCTTTCACCAGATATTTCTATAGTACTACTCTAGTAGTCTAGTTGACAGAACAAATAGCAATTGCGATTTTATTCGCTGAATTGAATGTGTTGTAAAGATAATACCACCAACTAAGGGTCGCAATTGATTCTTGTAATAACAGACTATAAAAGTAAAGGTATGAATAAAAAAGAAAATGCGTCCTTTGAAAGATATAGAACAAACCTGAAATTCAATGAATTGTTCTTTCACAAAGCGCAACACTAGACTTGATTTCCCAGCTCCAACATCCCTAAGAAGCACCTGAAGAAGAACATCAAACATGACTGTGGTGATCACGACATGCAATACCCAAAGAATAATAATTGAAGAAAAAATAAACCTATTCATCACATAACGCTAAAATACATATGCCTACATATCCATAATTCCTATGTTTACGGAACATCTTTCAATAAATCACAACCTTCATTTTAAACGGACTTTTGTATTTGTATTTTGCTTGTGAGTATGGTCTTGGTTAAAATTTAGCATTCTAGCATTTACTTATATGATATCATATAGGAAGAAAGCTATGAGACCTGAGTCACAGTATATTGTATTCTCGGAGACCCTCAAAATACCAGAGCTAGACCGAGATAAACAACAACACGAAAGAGTAAAACTTCTACTTTAAATGTACACTGACATTTGCATGCGCAAAGCTCTCTTTCCTCCTTTCCTTTCTTTTCTTCCTCACCTTTCGGTTCTTTCTCCTCTATCTAAGGAGATTGTTGTTTTGTTGTTAGTGGTTGCCACCATCTACACATTCAAATCAACTTTAGTTAATATAATTAACTTTAATAATTGTAATAGGAAGTAATGATTATGTCCAACCTTTGGGTCAACATTTGTGGCTATATCTACAAAAAAGTACTAAAAAAGTTTAAACACAAAACCCCAAAAATTATAAAATCAAAATATAATGTACTACCCCTTTTCTCCCGTTTTTCTCTCAGAATATGATTCTCTACTCTCCTATTCTCATCTCATTCCATCTCTTCCTCTCACACATTATTTTTTGTCTTATTATTTTTATAAAAAATCAATATAAAATGTTGATATAATTTAGCCGTAATCGTTCAAATAGGAGGAGATAGAAGGGTAGAGAAATTAGGAGGGTAGAGAATCCTACTCATTTTCTCTCACCCTCCACTTCTACAAATCACCAACCTCCCACTCTCCCTATATACTCCCTACCTCTCTCATAATATCAAAACTCTCAAACCCAATTCAGTGCCTCATTACCTAGGTTTTTTTTTGTATTATCTTTTTCAACTAAACCCTAAACAATGTATTGCTGCAAGCAACATAACGTCCACTTTGCAGATTTTTGTGGAACCACTTGGCAGATTTTGTGGAACCACTTTAAAAATTCAAATCTTTAAGCACCTGATGATCAGATTGAAATTTAAAACTTCAATAGGTATCCCTCCTTACCACATATATATAGTTTTAAAAATAAAACCAAAAGGATTAGATCCAATTAACATATACTGGAAAACTACCAAAGTAATATTGATTAATTAAACTACTTTTTTAAATATACCCAGCAAGGTAAATTTTGGGTTTGACAAAAATTTTAAACCTACGAATGGATATATCAAATCAATTTGTGAGTATGATAAAAGTCCCTATGATAGTATCAAAACAACTATAATCACAAAGAAGTTGAGAGATTACTTTCTGATTATCAAAACCACTACTGGATTTATATTGAGAGATTACTTTCTGATTATCAAAACCACTACTGGATTTATGTAGACATAAAATCTCACAATATTATTACCATGACCTTATGCATAATAGGAACAACACTATAATCATCTGCCTACCAGAAATTAACTCTTCTACAGCAGCAAGTTTAACAACCAACCAACCTTTGAACAAAGAACACACGGACAGAAAGAAACAGGATACATAAGGGGCAAAACAATTTTCTTACTTCTACATCAAAGCAAAAGAACAACCATTATATAGGTATGCCATTATCATCTGGGGAACAAATCCAATTGGCAGCTTTTACGTACCTACAATTATAAGCAAAGTTTGGAATTCGCAAAAAATACTGGGCAAATACTAAGGCTGCCATTTGAAAAAGCTAAACAACAACAAACTTTGACAAATTAGCTACAACTAAATTCAGATGACATTCGTTATATGAAGACAATCTGAGAAATCAAAGGCTCTAAAATCAATACCATATTTCAAGTGCCTTTTATTGTTTGTGAACCCAGCAGTAGAACCAGGATAAAAATTTGATTTAGAACCTTGTTATCTTTGTCCTTGTAAATATGATATTTTGGCATCGGCAATATATCACCAAAAAAAAAAAACAAATATATCTGAACTCAAAGAAAATATGGAACGAAAATAAAAAAGCAAATTATGAAAAATTAATCTTCTGAAAAAGCAAAAAACACAAATTTTTTGTTAAGCAATCGCATGGATTATAAATGCCAAAGATTAGATGATGGTAGGCGTCAGATTACCTCTTTCGCCAAAGATACGAAACCCCTCATTGCCGATGTGGCAGGGCGGATCCTCTGCCCCAAAATCTAAACCAACACAAAGATTAGGCAGTAAATCACATAATAATAAATTAATCAAGTGTTTTATATAATGAAAGTTCATAAATCGCAGAAGTAGAGGGTGTGCCATAGCTGATGAGCTTCTAGCTCCCACTTTTTGCCTTAAAATTCCCAACATCTTAAATTTCAGTGAGCACTTGAGAGAGATGAGAAGGAATAACAAATGATTTATTGGAAATATGGAAAAAAAAATCAGATCAAAATTCGGACAGAAATAAACAATACGAATTAGGGATTTGGGAGGGGGGACGAACCTGTTTGGCGGATTGGAGCGGGGATCGGATCGACGATGCGATGTGTAAAAAATGCGTTGTGGGAGCGGAGCAGCAGCAGCCAACACTTTCATGCAGAACTTGGAAAACCCAGATCAAACCAACCTTTAAGTTTCACAGTTTTTACCCTGGAATCCAGACAAAACCCAGATCAGATTCTAAATGGGTTTATCAAAAATAATAATTTAATCAGAAATGCTTATTCTTGTAGTGGGTGCACATCTAGTAATGCTTATTCTTGTAAATTGTCATTGCAATAATACAATAATACTCAAAATGATGTAGTGGGTGTACGGATTAAAGAGGGTTTTAGGTGAATGTGATCAGCCTACCCATGTGTCTAATGGATTATACTAATAAATGGTGTGTGATGTGATATGTTTTAGGTCAACATAATAATTAAATTTTAAACAATGAGATGTAAAGAAGATACAGATGCTCTTATCTTCTTTGTGAGTTTTTCCAGACAATGAGATAGTGGGTGTATATTACACTCTGTATTTGTACTCTGCCATGAATGATTAAAGTTTTACTCTAACATTTAAATAATGAATGTAGTGGTCATGAATTATTAAAGATAGAGTAATAAAATATTAAATAAACAGTGATAATTTGGAGGAGTTCTTACCTTTTCCGATGGATTTTCCCCAAACAGTGGGGATGGCAGCGGCGATACGGGGCCTGCTCTCGGTGAGCTTCTCAGCACCGGCACCACTCGGGTTGAGTGAGAATCTGATAGTCCAAGTCTACAGGTTCCGTTGGTGGCGGCGATTCCTCGCGAGCTTCATTTCCTGAAACCAAAAACCGAATCAAATTAGACAACCACACGCAAGATCGTAACATAGAGACATAACCCCCAAAATCACAGGAAAAAAAATTCAAACATCCACCTGCAAATCGAAAACCACAAAAATGAAATTAAATTAGGCACACTTAAAAAGCCTTAAAATCACCAGAAGAAATTAAATTACGCGTGTTAGTCATCTGGGAAAGGAAGAAAGGTGGAAAAGCAGAGCCTTTTCATTTGCTTCCACAGATTTCTCGAGCTCTCTCTCAAGCCCGGAACCCTAGCCTCCGCAAGCGAATTAGGTTTGTATCTCGCTCTTTCTCTCTCACGTATTTTTTTTCAATTCGGGACTGAATTTTGATCATCGTTGGAGCTCCTGCTTCCACTTCTTTTTCGTTTTTCTTTTCCTTTCGTTTCTCTCTCTCGCTCTCCGTCACGATTCTCACCTTCTTCAAATTTTCAATTTAATTCGAAGAAAATGTTACCCAAAAAAGCTAGGGTTTCCTGGTGAGTCTTATCTCGACAGTATACTTTGTTTGAATGTTTGATTTGAGTTGTTTGAATGTTTTATTTTACTTGAACTAGAGTCTCTGTGTTTCCCTTTGCTGATCGTTGTTTCTTTCGAGCAAAGGCTGGGTGGATTTTGGGAAAACAATCTGTTGTGTTCGCCTTTTTTTTTTGTCTGGGATTTTCAATTTCTATCCGAATTTTTGGTTGATTTCCAGCTCAATTTGGGGGTACCTGCCTACTACTTAATTAATTTTTTATTAATTTCACTTTAAGCACTAATTATTACAATTCTTCCATTTTTGCTGGTGAAGGTACAAAGAATAGTGTGGACTATGAAGGAAGCGTGCTTTGTGTTGGAAGTATGTTGGTGTCTTGGGCTCCCATCGAAATCTCTGATATCATTCCTGATAGGTATTTGCTTTGCACTTTTTTCTCCCTTCATTTTTTTCAAATGTATACACGAAAACTTTGGGATGTCAATAATAACGTGTCTATATAATTGTACCAACACAATGTACCACTATTTTATTTCGATGCATTTGCTACAAATTTACGATTTAGATAGTGTAATGATTGAGATAAGGGTATGATGTGGCTGATATGAACTCAATCCACTTCTTGGCTTCATAACGTGGATGTTGAATGGATGCACTTTTTAAATTTTATATGCAAACAAAATCAAATCTTCTATTTGCTTTTGTTTTTTTACTTGCTTCTGTTTTCAAATTTATTTTAATATAATTTTTGTTTTGGGATTAATTACATGCTTAGAGTTTAGTAGATTTGGATTAAATTTTGGTTGAACAGATTGTGCAATTGCGAATCTTGATCTAATGGATAGGATTGTATAAAGAATTCGTGGATTTATCTCATCTAAAATTATTTATATTTTTAAGATTTTCAATTGTTTTATGATGCCAAGTTTGGTAGAAAGAAAACGACTGAGCCGCAGCAGAACGGGTAGTCCACTGATGGAGCTGTGAGTAATGGGAGTAGTAATTCCTGCGTGACAGCAAATGGGAATATGTGAAGAGAAAACTGACTTGGTCATCTATGAGCAATTTGAAAACCAGGTTGTGGATTTGATCTTATCATATGATGCATTGCATTTGACTCATTGCATAGACTATGTAGAGTTGGATTCATTAGCATTTGATTTTCTCGGATTTTTTACATGTATTTGCGGTGACACAGTGGACGAATTCTAGGATGGAGGTGGAAGGATTTGGAAGAATCAGATGTGCCTATTCGTTTGCAAGGTGATTGTTTTAAAGCTTAAAATACCGTGCGAATTTATTTCACTAACATTACATTGGTTTTTTAATTTGATATGTTGTTTTGGTGTGTGAAAATCGAAGAACTTTTAAATGTTTGCGAATTTGGTTGACACTTTAGTGCAATTCATTTTGGTCAAGGCTTTGGTTTGTGGCCAATTGGAATTCATTTTGCTAAAATAAGATACATCTCTTTTTGCAGCCTGCAATTGCCTTTCAATTAGAGAACTGTACGAGGTTAAATATTTTTTTTTGTTCTTTGACCAAAAGCTTTAAGAGCTTTGTATTAACAGAGTCCTTAGGGATTCCTTTGATTATTTTGCTTGAGATGAGCCGTGTTTTGGAAATTCTATGAATATAATTTACATGGATTCTTGAATTTATGAGTGTTCAGTTAGGTTCTACTGAATTAACTATTTTCGAGAATTTTTCTTTGTCTTTATTTTTTTGAGATGTGATGGTGTTTTTCTTTGGCCTGAATACCTTTGATGGTTCCTAGAGTATATCTCCAACATTCCTTAGAAGTGGTTGCTACTGTGTCATAATATAAATTTTACAGAAGGAAAGGTTTTTTATTTTCTATTCTTGCTATATTGTCTTCGGTTGTGCAAACTATTCATTGTAGGGGATCCCTTCATATATATTAGTTAATTCTTGCTAAGATTTGTGCAAACTGTTTTTGTTATGTCAAAGTTGAAACCTTTTTTTAGGGTTGTAAATAGATTTCACATGTATGTAAATACTATATGTACACATTATAACTTTCTACATATTTTATACGATTTTAAAATCCACAGCATCGCGTATGCATTTTTGCTAGTTAAACCTAAAATCATGTAATTATGTATGTAGTGGAGAATAATGCAGAAAGATTGTTTTTTATAGTGCAGCCAATGACAATTCATTTCTCATGAAACAAAGAAAAGAGAAACAGAGGTATAAAAGTATATTATTTTTTATAGTTGCAAATATTATGAATTCTGAAAAGAAAAAACTACATATAACACTTCAATCACAGACCTAAGCATCTGAAACGCGGCGGCCAAGATACCATTCAAGACAGGCTCAACATAATGGATGAACTAACCTATCTGTGTCCCTGAGCTCACTGCATGTCATATACACCCGACCAACTGGGCATAGGAGCATAATGAGGAAAACTTCTGTATCCTCACTTAGAAGAAAACAATGCATGCATAATAGCCACATAAACCTCGCGTATATAAATTGTTGTGACAATAATTTGCAATAGAAAACGTAGTTATAAATAAGATATACGAAATACCAACATTACAATGGTTTTTTTTTTTCTTCATTCGATTGTACTGAAGCATGCATCTTAGTGGAGAACAATTAAGTACTACGTGAGGTCTCTATAATGAAATGGGAGATTGATTACACTTGAGGAAACTGAAAATTCAAATATGCACACTCCATAGTGTATCTTCACAACCAACAGAAACATTTATGTATACGACATATGTTTGACATTGTTTTTCCCCACTCAAATCGTCTTGAGAAATTTTGACTACATTGAGAATAAGCAAAAGAGTACTTTTTACTACCTAATTTACTAAGATCCACCAAATCTAAGAACTACAAAACTTTGATTAAAAAATCAAATAGAATAGCATGAGAAAGTTATTAAGACACCATATCTAAATTTTTTGCATATAAAAACACCTGTATTTCACCTGATTTTCGAATGAAATACAGATGCTTGTATTTCACCTGTACATAGCTGCCTGACATTTGTTGTCTTCTTCGGGTTCAAGATCCTTCTATTGTCTGAGATGTGAAAGAATCAGAAATCGTAAAGAGTTTGATAAATAAACATGTAATGTGATTATGTGACCACCATGCACTCATGTCTCAGACAGATAAACAAAGATACCAAAAAACATAGGGGCAATGTTAAGATAAACAGTGAGGCAATGTCACATTGTTTTGCATGATCTTGAAAATTGGGGATAAGGTCATCTCTAACCGAAGGGTTCAGAGGGCTGAAAATAGCCCTAAAACCGTCTCCAACCGAGGGCTAGGCCAGAGGGCTCTGGAATCTGGGAGGGCCCCACGGAATTTCAAAGGGCCAAAGGGCCAAAGGGCTAGCTGCTTTCGGCCAGCCAGCTAGCCCCAGGCTAGCTATTTTTTTTTATGGTTTTCCCATTGCTGTCGATTATAATCGACAACATTAAAGAAAGATTTTTTTAATACTGTCGGTTATAACCGACAATAATAGTTATTCAAAGGCAAATTTTTTTTTAATTACTATTAGTGTCGGTTATAACCGACACTAATAATTTGAAAATTTTTCAATATAACGGCTAGTAGACGTTGTATTAACTTTTTTTTTGTTTTTTTATATGAATTTAAACTTCTTCTTTTTTCCCTTTTTTGTCCTTTTCATATGAATCAAATTTGATTTCATATTTTTTTTCAATTCTATTTTACAAAATTTGTTTCATATTTTCGGTATGCCTCTTGGTGTAAGGTAAACAACTTTTCTGCGTCATTCTTAGGGTTTGGAATTGTTTGGACAAGTGTCGCCCACTTTGGGTAGATGCCATCTGCCAAGTAATACCCTATATTGTATTCACGGTCGTTGATGTAGTAGTCAAGTTGAGGTGCTTTACCTTTCGTCAAGTTATTGAAGAGGGGTGAACGCCCAAGAACTGTAATGTCATTTTGGGATCCAGGGACTCCAAAGAAAGCATGCCAGATCCATGTGTCATATGAGGCAACTGCCTCTAACACAACAGTTGGCTTTCTCGACCT